CTTTAAAACTACTTCAAGATCAAACCAAAAGGAGTCCCCGAGATTCTTTAAAATTACTTCAAAAACAAACGAAAAGAGGCCCCGGAGATTCTTTGAAAGTACTTCAAAAATCAGACACAAGTGGCCCCCCAAGATTCTCTCAAACTACTTCAAAAACAAACCAAAAGGAGCCCCGGAGATTTTTTCAAAGTACTTCAAAAACCAGACACAAGGAATAATAGCTATAATATAATATATTCTTTCAAACCACTTCAAAAACAAACCAAAAGGGCCCCCCCGATATTCTTTAAAAACTACTTCAAAAACAAACCTAAAGGAGTACGGAGATTTTTTCAAACTATCTACTTCAAAATCCAGACACAAGGAGTACGCAAGATTCTTTCAAACCACTTCAAAAACAAACCAAAAGGGGCCCCCGAGATTCTTTAAAAACTACTTCAAAAACAAAACAAAAGGTGTCCCCGAGATTCTTTCAAACCACTTCAAAAACAAACAAAAAGGGGTCCCCGAGATTCTTTTAAACCACATCAAAACCAAAACAAAAGCGGTCCCCGAAGATTCTTTCAAACTTCTTCAAAAACAAGACACAAGAGGTCCCCGAGATTCTTTCAAACCACTTTAAAAACAAACCCCAAAAGGACCGCCGAGATTCTTTTAAACCACTTCAAAAACAAACTAAATGGGGTCCCCGGGATTCTTTTAAACCACTTCAAAACCAAAACGAAAGCGGTCCTCGAGATTCTTTAAAACTACTTCAACAATAAACCAAAAGAAGTCCTCCAGATTCTTTCAAAGTAATTCAAAAACAAAACAAAAGCTGTCTCCGAGATTCTTTAAAACTACTTCAAGATCAAACCAAAAGGAGTTCCCGAGATTCTTTAAAACTACTTCAAAAACAAACCAAAAGAGGCCCCGGAGATTCTTTGAAAGTACTTCAAAAACCAGACACAAGTGGCCCCCAAGATTCTTTCAAACTACTTCAAAACCAAAACAAAAGGGGCCCCCGAGATTCTTTGAAACCACTTCAAAAACAAACCAAAATGGGCCCCCGAGATTCTTTAAAAACTACTTCAAGATCAAACCAAAAGGAGTTCCCGAGATTCTTTAAAACTACTTCAAAAACAAACCAAAAGAGGCCCCGGAGATTCTTTGAAAGTACTTCAAAAACCAGACAAAAGTGGCTCCCCAAGATTCTTTCAAACTACTTCAAAACCAAAACAAAAGCGGTCCTCGAGATTCTTTAAAACTACTTCAACAATAAACCAAAAGAAATCCTCGAGATTCTTTCAAACTATTTCAAAAACAAAACAAAAGCGGTCTCCGAGATTCTTTAAAATTACTTCAAAAACAAACGAAAAGAGGCCCCGGAGATTCTTTGAAAGTACTTCAAAAATCAGACACAAGTGGCCCCCCAAGATTCTTTCAAACTACTTCAAAAACAAACCAAAAAGAGCCCCGGAGATTTTTTCAAAGTATTTTTAAAACCAGACACAAGGAGTACCACAGATTCTTTCAAACGACTTCAAAAACAAACCAAGGGGCCACCAAGATTCTTTGAAACTACTTTAAAAATAAACCGAAAGGGGTCCCCGACATTCTTTCAAACTATGCACTTCAAAAACCAGACACAAGAGATCTTCGAGATTCTTTCGATCTACTTAAAAAACAAAACAAAAGATGTTCTCGAGATTCTTTAAAAACTACTTCAAAAACAAACCAAAAAGAGCACTGGAAATTCTTTCAAACTTCTTCAAAAACAAGACACAAGAGGTCCCCGAGATTCTTTCAAACCACTTCAAAAACAAACCCCAAAAGGGCCCCCGAGATTCTTTTAAACCACTTCAAAACCAAAACAAAAGCGGTCCTCGAGATTCTTTAAAACTACTTCAACAATAAACCAAAAGAAGTCCTCGAGATTCTTTCAAACTAATTCAAAAACAAAACAAAACCGGTCTCCGAGAATCTTTAAAACTACTTCAAGATCAAACCAAAAGGAGTTCCCGAGATTCTTTAAAATTACTTCAAAAACAAACGAAAAGAGGCCCCGGAGATTCTTTGAAAGTACTTCAAAAACCAGACACAAGTGCCCCCCCCCTCCCCCAGATTCTTTCACACTGCTTCAAAACCAAAACAAAAGTGGACCCCGATATTTTTTCAAACCACTTCAAAAACAAACCAAAATGGGCCCCCGAGATTCTTTAAAAACTACTTCAAAAACAAACCAAAATGGGCCCCCGAGATTCTTTAAAAACTACTTCAAAAACAAACCAAAAGGAGCCCCGAAGATTTTTTCAAAGTGTTTTTAAAACCAGACACAAGGAGTACCCCAGATTCTTTCAAACGACTTCAAAAACAAACCAAAAGCGGCCACCAAGATTCTTTGAAACTACTTCAAAAATAAACCGAAAGAGGTCCCCGACATTCTTTCAAACTATGCACTTCAAAAACCAGACACAAGAGATCTTCGAGATTCTTTCGATCTACTTAAAAAACAAAACATGTACTCGAGATTCTTTAAAAACTACTTCAAAAACAAACCAAAAGGAGCCCTGGAAATTCTTTCAAACTACTTCAAGAACAAACCAAAATGGGCCCCCGAGATTCTTTAAAACTACTTCAAAAACAAACCAAAAGGAGCCCCAGAGATTTTTTCAAAGAATTTTTTAAACCAGACACAAGGAGTACTCCAGATTCTTTCAAACTACTTCAAAAACAAACCAAAAGGGGTCCCCGAGATTCTTTCAAACCACTTCAAAAACAAAACAAAAGGGGTCCCCGACATTCTTTCAAACTACTTCAAAAACCAGGCACAATTGGACCCCGAGTTCTTTCGAACAACTTCAAAAACAAAACAAAAGGGCCCCCCGAAATCTTTCAAATCATGTACTTCAAAAACCAGGCACAAGGGGTTCCTGAGATTTTTTTCAAACTACTTCAAAAACCAGACACAAGAGATCCCCGAGATTCTTTCAATCTACTTAAAAAACAAAAAAAAAAAGGTGTCCCCGAGATTCTTTCAAACTACATACTTCAAATTCAAACCAAAATGAGCCCCCGAGATTTTTTAAAACTACTTCAAAAACAAACCAAAATGGGCCCCCGAGATTCTTTAAAACTACTTCAAAAACACAACAAAAAAGGGCCTTGAGATTCTTCAAATTACTTTAAACAGGCACACGAAGATTCTGAGATTCTTTCAAACTACTTCAAAAACAAAACAAAAGGGGCCCCCGAAATCTTTCAAACCATGTACTTCAAAAACCAGGCACAAGGGGTTCCTGAGATTTTTTTCAACTACTTCAAAAACCAGACACAAGAGATCCCCGAGATTCTTTCAATCTAGTTAAAAAAACAAAACAAAAGGTGTCCCCGAGATTCTTTACAACTACATACTTCAAAAAGAAACCAAACTGGGCCCCCGAGATTCTTTAAAACTGCTTCAAAAACAAAACAAAAATGGGCCCTGAGATTTTTCAAATTACTTTAAACGACAGGCACACGAAGATCCTGAGATTCTTTCAAACTACTTCAAAAACAAACCAAAAGGAATCCCAGACACTCTTTCAAACTACTTCAAAAACCAGGCACAATTGGATCAACTTCAAAAACAAAACAAAAGGGGCCCCCAAAATCTTTCAAACCATGGACTTCAAAAACCAGGGGTTCCTGAGATTTTTCAAACTACTTCAAAAACAAATTACTTGAAAAACAAGTTTTTTGAAGAAATTGACCTTGAGGGGCCTCTTGTTCTTTTCTTGTTAAGAATATGAAAAAATTTGGGGGCTCCAGGCGTTAATCTTGGGGGACCCTTGCGTTTTCTTTTTGAAAGTATTTTTTAATGAAAGAGTTTAAATCTTGGGAGCCCCAAGTGTCTTTTTTAAGTATGAGAAAGAACCTTGGGGGACACTTGTGTTTCATTTTTCAAAAAGTTTGATGGCCCCTTCGTTGTTTTTGCAAGAATTAAAAAAACGTGCCTTTTTGATCTTTTTTTAACAACCGAGTAAATTTTAGCGTTGGTAATTCTGAATTAGAATTATTGGCAGCAATGTTAATATGTCAATTTACGGTACAGTTGTCAATGTTGACACGAAGTTCTAAATTTCACTTTCATTTTGACAATCAGGTGTGCTGTAATAAAATTTTCAATTGTTGCCAACCTGGCAAAAAAACACGATCTGTTATAGTCACCTAGTATTAAATACAACGTGATCAACAAGTGCATACTATGTAAAATTAATTAAATTAAATAAAATTTGTAAAATCAGATTTTATAGTTTATCCAATAATTTGAAGCTGTTTTATTGCTTGCGCCAAAAAAATATTGACTAGGTACATTCTTAATATTTTGACTGACCAGTAATTAATTCACGATTTTTTTTAAACATCTTCCAATAAATTGTTGCGATGACGTCATTATCTTTCTAGATGGGATCAACAAATAAGTTTAAATGGTTGTACTGTGACTATTAGATTAATGACAGCATTTTTCCAAAAATAACTTGCATTTGTTTGCTAAATAATGATCCTAGTTATCAAGCTTTGATGCATTGTGTTTACAATTTATTAATCTTGTACTTAGAAATATGCTATAGATAAACAGTTTAGGGTTCTAGATATCATACATATGAAAATATTGGAAAATTTTGTTTGACATTCTTTATTAAATAATAGAACTAACGAACCAACAGCTTAGTTTTTTTCAAACCCGGGGTCTACCACCACGCACTTAATCTACCCCGGATGAACACATTCATACTCGCGGACCGTGAACTCCGCCAAGATAAAACCTTGACATTTGCGATTAAAATTAGGTTAAAATTCCGCTACAAATCCGCACCGAATCCTTGCCTCGCTCGCGCCTCTGCCTCGAACCCCCAAATCTCCCAGCAAACTTTCCCTCGCAGCCGCCCATCGCCGGCATCCTCAAGGCCTCCGCCGATGCCCCCCGCCCCCGGCCTATTTATACCCGCGCCGCCTATTTTTAGCCACCGACAACTCACCTGAGCACGTACGCGTCCACCTGTTCGTTCTTCATGAAGCTGATGATCTCGCAGCGGACGATCTTCAGCAGCGACTCCAGCTTGCCCCTGGAAGAAAAACCTGCCTAAGACGTCGGCACCGTGGGCGCCGTCAGCTGACGGCGGCGCGCTTAGATTGTGCGGCGGCCGGCCGGCGTGCCGCCGACATCGATCTGGCAGCGCGGTGCCGTCACAGTCTAACCGGGCCGGGGCTCACAAACCTGGGGATTTTTCGGAGGTCGGCCGCCTGGGAGGCGGCGCCGTCGCCGGTAAACCAAATCTCGAGGAGCTTTTCGACGCCCTCGAAAAACTGGACACTTTCTTCACTCATGTTGCGGCGTCGGGACGGCTACTGACGTCTGCGACTGGTCGGAGCTGGGTTCGACGAGGAATGAGCAAAATTCGATGCGAGGAGAGGCGGTGCGCGCGCAGTGTCAACAGAGACTGGGGGGCGGCGGTGGGGGCGGGAGAAAACGGCGAACTGGGGGCTGGGAAAACCGGAAAATGGACTTATTAGAGAAAAAATCGCAGAAAAATCGAGAAAAGAAGGTGAATTTTATTTGCTTACACTACGAAGCGACCTTGAAGCGTGGAAAATAACGTTAAATAAAAACATTAACACTGTGTTATTATTGATTAGTTAGAAATATTGGAATTTTTACCTAGTTACTTTTGGGTGGTTAGGGGAGGGTTACACAGGCCTGCATTTATCAAGAACACGTAATTTACCGTGTCTCAAGCTTGCTTGACAAATTTACAACTGTACAAATGGTACTTTAGCGAAATGAAGCTGGTGAAGGGTGAATCTGACGGGTTGGCAGTACTGTCAGCACCCTGTATTTAAGGGTGACAACCACAGTTCCACAACGGGGCAGGTAAAACCTTCATGCTTGCCAACATAAATAATTCGTCCTATAATTAACACCTACTATCCAGAGTTTACTTAATATGACATAAAAGGTTTTCCTATGTTATGGTTTTTCGTGTTGTTTGCAAGTTATAAACAAAAAAATCAACGTTGCCAAATTGTTCACACGTCAAAGTCAAAAGGATAGGCAACCAACAATACTTTGAAAAATCTAATTGGATTTCAATCACAACGTATTGGAACTTTAGTTTTCGGCTTTTTTCTTGGTTTTTTTTTTTTTTAAATGTAAATCAGTGAAACTCTGGAAAATGATCCAAAGCCAAAAATATTTCCAACATTTTCTTAAAGATTAATACAATTAAATACTATTCTAATGCACTATAAAATCCTTTGTCGCTATTCTACTAACAACTGAATCCAGAAGCGTTGTATTCTTCTCCTCCAGTTCCTTAATCTTGTAGGCTTTCCTGATAGCCCCCAAATCCCGTATTTCCTCCAGCACCCCCAAGTCCGCCTCCTCCCCGTCAATTTGAGCCGCCGCACCATCACTTTCGCCCCCTACCATCACAACCAACAAATCTCTGCAGTCATCAGTGATCCCAAACTGCTGCAAACTCCTCGTAATGTTCTTAGATATCGACAAATTGTATAAAATTTCGGTGAACACAGTCTTCGTTATTCGATTTTCACAAGTGAGAGCTTTATTGGCAGCCACGATTAACTGAAACGGATCCAATATATATTTGGGGTTTATGAAACAGCACTTGATTTGTCCGGCGATGACTTTCTGGCGCAACTCGGGCACGTTTTTGACGTTTCTGTACAACTGGACGGTTAACGGGAGCTCGACGGTGGGGTCCAGAGCGACGGTAGTCATGGTGTTCGGGGGCGAAGCACCAATGGCATGAAAAAGTGAGGTTATGTTGCTACAACCTAAAAAGTGTTAATGGATTATATTTTATAGGGTGCGAAGTTCGCAGTGCGGTAAATTTGCACCTAACTTACACGAATTGAGTGAAAGGGGTTATTAAAGTGAAAAAAAGCGGAATGTCGTTAAACGATTTCGCTGCGTTACAGATTACTGACTTACCGACACGAAGCAACAACAACTAAAAGGTTGTAAAAGTGGATGCAATTTCGTCAGTTCGTGAATTATTGTCTGCTGTAACTATAAAAGTGAGCAGACGCTTTTTTTTTCTGATAGAAATACAAAAATAATGTTTGTGTTTTGAAATTGGCGCGTCCCGTGGGTTTCTACCTTACCGACGCAGTTAACGTCAACGAGGTTTAGCACCGAGATAGTGAGCACCTCCCATGAGCAATCAAACCTCTTTGTAAATGTAATTTTTGGTTATAAATCGTACTTTTTAGGTGTTCAGAATGATTTTGCTCGAAACCAACAACCGAGTGGTCGAGGAAACCCTAACGGTCAAAATCAGGGGGGCACAAGCTGGGTAAGTCTGACTTCCTGGAAAAACCGGCTCTTTTCGGGTGAGGCGCCGTTATCACTCGCCTTATCACCAACCAACTCATCCCGTTACCTCTCCACCACACCCTCCCAAAAACCCCAATTTTGCTTTCTATGTATCCCGATTTCCCCCAGGTTAAAAAACGAGTCCATCGACATCACCGTCTCCGACTTCGACGGCGTCCTCTACCACATCTCCAACCTCAACGGCGACAAAACCAAAATTAGGGTAAGCCGCAGCGCCTGCAGCCGCCCCCGTGACCCTCTCGTTGCAGATAAGCATTTCGCTGAAGTTCTACAAGGAGCTGCAGGAGCACGGCGCCGACGAGCTGCTCAAGCGCGAGTACGGGCCCCTGCTGGTGCCCCCCGAGGACGGCTACAACGTGTCGGTGCTGTTCGACCTCGAGAACATCCCCTCGGACTGGCCTGACGTGATCAAGAAGATCGGGTTGCTGAAGCGCAATTGTTTCGCGTCGGTGTTCGAGAAGTACTTTGACTTCCAGGAGAACGGGGATGAGGGGCAGAAGCGCGCCGTTATCCACTACCGCGACGACGAGACCATGTACGTGGAGGCGAAGGCCGACCGGGTCACGGTGGTGTTCTCGACGCGGTTTCGCGATGAGGATGATGTCGTGATCGGGAAGGTAATGACAGATTGTGGGATGAGTTTCCGTTTGATAATTTTTGTCGGAAGGTGTTCATGCAGGAGCTGAAGGAGGGGCTGAGGGCGTCGCATACGGCGCCTCCGGTGCTGTTCAGCCACAGGGAGCCCCCTCGGGAGCTGCAGAACACGGACGCGAAGGTGGATAACAACGTAGGTTATGTTACTTTTGTGTTGTTTCCGAGACACACGGCGAGGAACACGAGGGACAACACGATTAATTTGATCCACATGTTTCGCCACTACTTGCATTACCATATTAAGTGTTCGAAGGCGTACATTCACAGTAGGATGCGGGCCAAGACTTCGGATTTTTTGAAGGTGCTGAACAGGGCTCGGCCGGAGAACAAGTCCACAGATAAAAAGACTATAACGTGAGTTGATTTTAATTAATTAATTAATTAAAATTAATTTTTTGGTTTCAGGGGGCGCACGTTCGTCCGCAGGGATTGATGTGTGTAGTACTAGTGCTTGTAAGATCAGCTCAAAGGACTAATAACTGCCGACGAATTACTAAACTTAACTGTTTCATTCGACACGTTTTTGTTCCAGTCAGATGTGCACAGCCTCTCTTGCAATGTAATTTTATTTATTAAGTCAATTATGAAGTTCGCTCCGGTCACTGAATGGTACAGTTCAGTTTTATAGTTGTATGGTGCTGATTTTCAGCGATGTACATAGGATTCAATCTTTTAACTGTGCTTCCTGGAGATATGGGTGAGCACATTATTGTGAATTGTATATTTCTAATTCATCAAATTTATTAGCCATTATTATAGATTTTTACTATTTTTTAAATCCTTGTTTTTTCCCTTTTTGTACTGTGTATCCGCTTATTTAATATCATTTTAATTCATTCGTTGCTGTTTAAATTATTCGAGTTTTACGAAAGTCATCATCATCGCCAAATGATATAACATAGGTTAATAAATTAATAGTTAATAAATTGTCAATTTCAATAGCAAGTTCCGATATTTATTTTTTTATTTCTAGACAATAGATGCGTTTGCAGATTATATTTACAGTTTTCTTATTACGGTTACAGTTAACGAAACAACAAAACACTGTTTACTTGAATTTAGAAAATAAAATGTTATTTTAAAATAAATGCGTTGCTTGTGAATTCACCCTGACGACATACACACCAAATTTGACAACAATCGATCCAGTAGTTTCGGATATTAGTGTCCAATAAAAAGTTGTTGTCGAAATAAGCCTTCACATATTAAAAAAAACGGGAAAATATAAGCCCCGCCCACCCACCCTATCTCGATTGTGACGATTCTTTCTTATTCGTCGTTAGGCAAAAGGGGCGGAGCTGAACTGCAAAATACTTATTTTCGTACGGGAAATTAAAAACACGTTTTTGGGTACTGTGTTGTTCAAAGAATACTATGTATATTAAGAAAAAAAATAAAGCCAAAGACTAGACCCCACCCATACACGCCCCGATCTCAATTCTCAATTGTGATGAATTTTTCATTCGTTGTCAGATCGAGGGGCGGGGCTTAATTGTCTATTATTTATTTGTCTACAAGAGTTTACCATTTTAAATATGTTTTAAGTTTCTTGTTCTGAAAAGACGACCACGTATATGAAGAAAAAAGACAAAATATAAGCCCCGCCCACCCGCCCTGTCTCAATTGTGATGATTTTTTTAATCATCGAGAGCCAAAAGAGCAGAATTTAATTGCAAAATCCTTATTATTTTTGTATAATAGAATACCATGTAAGACATTTTTTTGAGTATCATGTAATTCAAAGAATACTATGTATATTAAAAAAAAAAAAATTAAAGCCAAAAATTAAGCCCCGCCTACACCTGACCTGATCTAAATCGTAAAAATAGTAATAGAAGTTTTCATTCGTTTGTAAACCTAGGGGCGGAGCCTAATTGCAAAATCGATGTTTTTCTATATAAATTTACCATTTTTAACATATTTTAAGTTTATTGTTGTAAAAAAATGACTACACATTAAGAAAACAAGGCAAAATGTTGCCCCTCCCACCCACCCTATCTCAATTGTGATGACTTTTTTTATTCGTCGTGAGCCAGAGGGGCGGAGTTTAATTGCAAAATCCATAGTTACTTACAAAAATTTACCATTTTAAATGTGTTTTAAGTTTCTAAGAATAAAAAAAAATCATCACAATTGCGATAGGGCGGGTGGGCGGTCTTACATTTTGCCCTTTTCTCTTTAATAACTGTAGACTTCTTTTCACAACATGAAACTTTAAACATGTTTAAAATGGAAAATTTGTATAAGGAAATATCGATTCTGTAATTAGGGTCCGCCCCATAATTGCAAAGTCCATATTTCCTTGAAAAAATCCAATGTTCTAAGTTTCTTGTTGTGAAAAGATGGCTATGTACGTTAAGAAAAAAAAGGGGCAAAATATAAGCCCCGCCCACCCGCCCCATCTCAATTCTGATGATTTTTTTTTATTCGTCGTAAGCCGAGGGGCAGAGTTTAATTGTGAAATCGTTATTTTTCTATGAGAAATTAAAAAAAAAACAAAAACAAATGGGAAGCCCCACCCATCCGTCTCGATCTCAATCGTGATGAATTTTTCATTCGTTGTCAGATCGAGGGGCGGGGCTTAACTGCAAGATCCATATTTGCCTACAGAGTTTACCATTTTAAACATGTTTTAAGATTCTTGTTCTGAAAACTACGTACGTTAAGAAAAAAATCAAAATATAAGCCCCGCCCACCCGCCCTGTGTCAATTGTGATGATTTTTTTTTTATCGTCGAGAGCCAAACGAGCAGAATTTAACTGCAAAATCCTTATTATTTCTCTACATAGCTGGCCTCATCTAAATAGTATTGAAGTTGTTATTCGTTGGCAGACCTAGGGGCGGAGCCTAATTGCAAAATCCATAGATACTTAAAAAAAATTACGATTTCAAACGTATTTTAAGTTTCTAACAATAAAAAAATATATCATAATTGCGATGGGGTGGGTGGGCGGGCTTTATATTTTGCCTTTTTTTTCTTATTATACGTAGTATTCTTTGAAAACACGATACTCAAAACCATGTTTTTAATTAAGAAATTTGGAGATTTAAAAATATCAAACTGAAAAATGAAAAAAAAAAAATGCAAATTACAAAATTGAAAAATTACAAAACTAAAACTGGAAAATCAAAAAAATGAAATATTGAAAATCGGAATTTTGAAAAGTTAAATATCAAGAAATTGCAAAATTACAAAATTGGATTATTGTAAAATCGAGTAATTACAAAATTAAAAATCGAAAAATGGGAAATTATGAAATTGAAAAAATAAAAAAAAATGGAAAATCGTAACAATGAAATTCGAATAATAAAGAAAATATAAAATTAATTACCAAATTGAAAAATTGCATAATTGTGAACTCGTAAATTTATTAACATGTAAAAATGAAAAATTGCAACATTATTAAATTTAAAAAAATGAACAATTTAAAAATGAAAAATCGAGAAATTGAAAAAATATTAAACTGAAAAATCAAACATATTGTAAAAGGACGAAATTGAAAAATAGCACAATTTTAAAATTCAAAAATTGAAAAATCGAACAATTGTGGAATAGATTAATTACAAAATTTAAACAATGAAATTCGGATATCTTTAAAAACGGAAAATCAAATTTAATTTTAATTTTTCAAGTTTTTGGGTTTTCAGTTTAATTATTTTATAAAATTTCCGTTTATAGAGGTATCCGAATTTCATTGTCACGATTTTCTAATTTTTGATTTTTAATATTTGAAAATTTCAATTTCCAATTTTCCAAGCTTTTGATTTTTCAGTGTTGTAATTTTTCTATTTTACGATTGTTTGATTTTTCAATTTTTCCATTTTAAAACTGTACGAATTTTCAGTTTTATATTTTTACAACTCACCACTTTCTCAGTTGTCCATTTTTTAATGAATCAGTTTTTCAAAATTTCTAATTCCTTGATTTTTCAATCGTTCGTTTTGAATTTAATAGTTTGCAATTTTTCGTTTTTATACTTTGATAAATTTTCCAGTTTACACTCATCAATTTTTTTAATTTTCTAATTTTACAACTTTTCAATTTCTTGATTTTTAATTATTCCAAATTTCAATTTTAATTTTTCAATTTTTTAATTTTTCCGTTTAATTCAATTATGCGGTTTTTAATTACTCAATCATTCAATTCTTGTTTTCTCAATTTTTCGAAATTCATGGTTTCGCTTTTTCAATTTTTTGATTTTTAATTTTCCAAAATTTTGATTTTCAATTTTTCAAGTTTTTGATTTTCATTTTCACAATTTGGAAATGTTTCGATTTTTAAATTTAGTATTTTTCGATTTTACATCTTACTATGTGTCTGGTTTTTCAATTTATCCGTTTTAAAATTATTCGATTTTCAATTTTACAATTATCCAATTTTGCAGTTCTGTAATTTTGGAATTTTTTGATTTGCCAGTTTTATATTTTTACATTTTTAGATTTCTGAATTGTCCGATTTTTAATGAATAATTTTTTCAATTACTCGATTATTGTTTGATTTTTTTTAGTCAAAATTTCAATGTTAATTCTACACGTTTTCGATTTTTCATTTTCACAATTTTTCCCAATTTTTCGATTTTTAAATTTTTATTTTTCCAAATTTTCAATTTTGTCATTTTGCACTTTTTTTGTTTTTCAGTTTTAATGTTTTACAACTTTTTCAATTTTCCGATATTTCAGTTTTGGGATTTTTCAGTCATTTTGATTCTTCAAATTCTCGACTTTTCAAATTTCGCATTTCTCGATTTTTACTTTTTCGATATTTCTAACTATTTTGGGATTTTTCAATTTTTTGATTTCTCAATTTTTTGATATGTCGATTTTTCGATTTTTCACTGTTGTAATTTTTCTATTTACAATTGTCTGATTTTTCAATTTTTCCATTTTAAAACTGTACGAATTTTCTTTTATATTTTTACAAATCATCACTTTTTCAATTGTTCATTTTTAATGAATCAGTTTTTCAAAATTTGATTTTTCACTTATCACAATTTCCAATTCCTCGATTTTTCAATCGTTCGTTTTGAATTTAATAGTTTGCAATTTTTCGTCTTTATACTTTGATAAATTTTCCAGTTTACAATGATCAAATTTTTTAATTTTGTAATTTTACAAGTTTTCAGTTTCTTGATTTTTAATTATTCCAAATTTTTTATTTTTCCGTTTAATTCTTTTACAATTTGCGATTTTCCACTTTTATGATTTTTCAACTTTCCAATTTTACAACTATGCGGTTTTTAATTACTCAATCATTCAATTCTTGTTTTTTCACTTTTTCGAAATTCCTAGTTTCGATCTTTCAATTTTTTGATTTTGAATTTTTCAAAATTTTGATTTTCAATTTTTCAAGATTTTGATTGTCATTTTCACAATTTGGCAATATTTCGATTTTTAAATTTAGTATTTTTCGATTTTACATCTTACTATGTGTCTAGTTTTTCAATTTTTCCGTTTTAAAATTATTCGATTTTCAATTTTACAACTATCCAAGTTCTGTAATTTTACAATTTTTTGATGTCAGTTTTATATTTTTACATTTTTCGATTTCTCAATTGTCAATTTTTGCCAGATTTTCCAATTTCTGGATTATTTTTTTATTTTTTTTTTAATTCAAAATTTCAATGTTAATTTTACGCGTTTTCGATTTTTCATTTTCATTTTTCCCAATTTTTCGATTTTTAAATTTTTATTTTTCCAAATTTTCAATTTTGTAATTTTGCAATTTTTTGTTTTTCAGTTTTAATGTTTTACAACTTTCGCAATTTTCCGATATTTCAGTTTTGGGATTTTTTAGTAATTTTGATTCAATTTCTCGATTTTTCAGTTTTTCCATTTCCCGATTTTCACTTTTTCGATATTTTTAACTTCATATTTTGGGATTTTTCAATTTTCCGATTTCTCAATTTCTCAATTGTCCGATTTTTAGTTAATAATTTTTTTAATTACACGTCAGATTTTCCAATTTCTCGATTATTTTTTGATTTTTTTTTATTCAAAATTTCAATATTAATTTTACACGTTTTGATTTTTCATTTTCATAATTTTTCCCATTTTTCGATTTTTAAATTTTTATTTTTCCAAATTTTCAATTTTGTAATTTTGCAATTTTTTGTTTTTCAGTTTTAATGTTTTACAACTTTCGCAATTTTCCGATATTTCAGTTTTGTGAAAAGATGACTGGCACACATTAAGAAAACAGGGCAAAATGTAGCCCCGCCCACCCACCCTGTCTCAATTGTGATTATTTTTTTTTAATCGTCGTGAGCCACGGGGGAGGAGTTTAACTGCAAAATCCTTATTTGTAAACGAGAAATTAAAAACATGTTTCTGAGCATCGTGTTCTAAGAATAAAAAAAAATCATCACAATTGCGATGGGGTGGGTGGGCGGGGTTTATATTTTGCCCCTTTTTTCTTAATGTACGTAGTATTCTTTGAAAACACGATGCTGAAAACCATGTTTTTAATTTCTTGTAAAGAAATAAGTATTTGCAGTTAAGCTCCGCCCTCTTGGTTCTTGGCGAATAAAAAAAATCATCACAATTGAGACAGGGTGGGTGGGCGGGCTTTCATTTTGCCTTTTTGTTTTAATATGTGTACACTTCTTTTCAAAACATGAAACTTACAACATATTTAAAATCCGCCCCATAATTGCAAAATCCATATTTCGTTGACAAAATGTACCATTTTACAGTGGCGCAACGATTGCTGCATAAGGTTACGGAATTTCAAATATTAAAGAAAATCTAAATTGTATAATAATTCTTAAAACTGTTACTATTATTTATTAAATGTGGCACAAATAATATATTGTGAGTTTGGGTGCACGCCACTGCAAAGACGTTCTCCCCTTCGAACGAAGAATGGACTCGACCGCAATAAATTGACATGCGCAGATCACGTGATGGCCCCTTTCGTTTTGCACCAAACTATAACCATGTCGTAAGTTTCTTGTTGTGAAGATGGCCATGTATATTAAGAAAACAAGGCAAAATATAAGCCCCACCCACTCGCTCTGTCTGAATTCTGACGACTTTTTTATTCGTCGCTAGCCAAGGGGGCGGAGCTTAATTGCAAAATCCAACACACTGATGCGTGATGTAAATTCCATGTCAAAAAAAGTCGTTTCCATTATATTTTATTGAATCTGCAGAATACATTCGAAGAAAAAATCACTTAAAAAAAATAATATTACACTAATATGCACAGATCAAAGTTTACAGTGTACATAAGACATTAGATAAGTAAGAACCCGAAAACTGAACATAACCTAAAGTGTCATATAAAGACCGGTCACAACTAGCGAAGCGTCGTCTATCATTTTGGCTGACTTGAATTTGCATCCCTCGGATAAAACGTCCAAATGTACAATAAAATCCACCACAAACCCATCAAAATATAAATAACCGCCTTAAAATAAATAAAAAGCCGCTTACAAGATCCGCTCGTAGAACAGCAGATAAGCCTGAGCACTCAAGACCCGCGTCTCGCTCGCCTCCGACACGTGCGAGTCGCTGATGTAGTACCACTTGCCGGCGGGCGCCTCCGGCTCGCCTTGCGCCCCCTTGGGCGCTTGCGCCTTGTCGCTCTTCTGGTTCTTGGGCAGGAACTGCCACCGGTAGCTGTTCTCCTCGAGCTTGGGCCGCACCTTGACGTAGGCCACGTAGTGGCCCCCGTGGATCGAGCCGCTGTGCTCCACCACCCCGTACAACGAGTACAGCACCTTGGTTTGCCCGGCCTCGAACGTCGGCAAGTTCTGCGAGCGCTTCGAGCAGAACGGCGCCAAGTCCAGCAGCGTCGGGAACTTGACGAACTTGGGCACCTTCGCCGACCGGAAGCGGTACACCTGGAAGCGCTTCAGGTGCAGGATGAGCACGGCGGGCGGGTTGTAGATGAGCAGCTGCTTCGTCGCGTTCGTGTAGACGGTCTTCTTGTCGGCGCCGCCGTGACGCTTGGTACACAACTCGCAGCTGACCTTGTTGTTGCCGGTCATGAGCTCGCAGGCGGTGAACTGGTTGAGGCACGACTGCACGGAATATTCGCCCTCTTCGCACTGGTAGCGCGCCGAGATGGTGTTCGTCCACAGGTCGACGTCCTCGTCGTCTTCGTCCATCTGAAGACGATACTCATTTAATTAATCAATTCATCAGCAATTTATGAGTAAGGGGACTCGCTAGACGAGGTATAACATTTTTTTCGTTTTTTGTATGAAAAAATTGGTCTAAAGAGTTTAGACAGTACTTCCCTCGCTGTCGGAAACTTGACGACTGCATGCCTATTGTGTTTTTTTTCTCATTACATTTTTGTAGTGGGAATTTAAAAAAAAATGCGATGACGTCATCAACATTTTTGCAAGGACACGTATATCAGTTGGGATAGATGTAGTGTAATAGTAAGAATAAAATTATTATATTCTCAAATTTTCGGGAAAATGAATTGGGTCGTTTTGAATATTGATTTGTAATAATCAATAAAATAACGAAACAATTTACTCATGTATACCTACGTATCAGAGGCAACTGAAAATCGTGTATGTATAAACATTCTTAATTTAAGATGACAGGCGTAACAGCATACGTGAGAGTCAAACAGAGAAACTGTAAACAAAACGACCATCGATTTTATTGCTTCGACTTCCGCTTATTATATAAAACATTGGGTTTTATTTTAATTCTTGACGGTGAAATTCACAACTGGTTGATTATAAACATGTCTATTTCACATTCGCGGAACGCATAAAACAAATGCAGGTCTGTAATGTTAAAGTCGATCTAAATAAGCGTGCTACCCTTATGTTTCAACCGAGTTTTTCCTTTAACAAATTTTGTGTCTACCAAATTGGGTTGGTTGGGGTGTAATACTAATAATAAGTGTTGCCTTTAATTTAATCAAAATAAATTGACTTCATTAATTTTTTTGAAGCACCTCTTAACAAAATCTAAAAAATATGAATGGAATGATAAATCACAAGTACAAACTCATCATATTTTTTGCATTTTAGATAGGATTTATTCAGCAAAATTTAAGGGTGACGTCATCAATTTTTTTAGGAGGGATGAACAAATACATTTTGAATAAAAGTTTACCATGCTTATAATAACTTTAAAATATTCCCAAGATTTCAAAGCATTCGGTTTTGTAATTCCTGATTAAATCGATAAAATAAATTCACGCCTTCATTAATTTTTTTGAGTCACCCTGCATATGCAAATCCAAAAATATGAATGGAATGATAAATCACAAGTACAGACTCATCATATTTTGTACATTTTAGATACGATTTATTCGGCAAACTTTTGAGCTGACGTCATCAGGTTTTTGTAGAAGATAACCAAATATATTTTGACTAAAAATTTATTATGCTCTTTATAACCTTAAAACATCTGCAAGATTTCAAAGCATTCGGTTTTGTAGTTTCTGATTAAATCAATAAAATAAATTTACGCATTCATTAATTTTTTGAGTCACCCTGTATATGCAAATCGAAAAAATTTGAATGGAATGATAAATCACAAGAAGAGACTCACCATATTTTGTACATTTTAGATAGGATTTATTCAGCAAAATTTTGTGGTGACGTCATAAATTTTTTAGGGGGGACCACCAAATACGTTTTGATCAAAAATTTACCATGCTTATGATAATTTTAAAATATCTTCAAGATTTCGAAGCATTCGGTTTTGTAGTTCCTGAGTAAATCAGTAAAATAAATTTACGCTTTCATTTATTTTCTTGAATCACCCTGTATATGCAAATCCAAAAAATATGAATGGAGTGATAGATCACAAGTACAGACTGATCATATTTTGTACATTTTAGATATGATTTATTCGGAAAATTTTCGAGCTGACGTCATCAAGTTTTTGGAGGGGATAAGCAAATATATTTTGACTAAACATTTATTATGCTCTTTATGACCTTAAAACATCTGCAAGATTTCAGAGCATTCGGTTTTGTAGTTCCTGATTAAATCAATAAAATATATTTACGCATTCATTAATTTTTTTGAGTCACCCTGTATATGCAAATCCAAAAAATATGAATGGAGTGATAGATCACAAGTACAGACTCATCATATTTTGTACATTTTAGATATGATTTATTCGGCAAACTTTCGAGCTGACGTCATCAAGTTTTTGGAGGGGATAAGCAAATATATTTTGACTAAACATTTATTATGCTCTTTATGACCTTAAAACATCTGCAAGATTTCAGAGCATTCGGTTTTGTAGTTCCTGATTAAATCAATAAAATATATTTACGCATTCATTAATTTTTTTGAGTCACCCTGTATATGCAAATCCAAAAAATATGAAGTGAGTGATAGATCACAAGTACAGACTCATCATATTTTGTACATTTTAGATATGATTTATTCCACAAACTTTTGAGCTGACGTCATCAAGTTTTTGGAGGGGATAAGCAAATATTTTTTGACTACAGATTTATGATGCTCTTTATAGCCTTAAAACATCTGCAACATTTCAAAGCATTCTGGTTAGGAGATTAAAAATTAAATTTCAAAATGTTGTTTTATAATTTTGATTTTTTTTCCAAAAATCTGGACGTTTCGGGTGAAAAGTCGATTCAGAGTTGTAAACTACATGTGTAGGACTATGTTACTTTATACAATTGAAAACCCATTTACTATGTACAATTTTGAAGTGACGTCATCGCATTAGTGGTGGGGATGATTAGACAAATTTTGGTTAGCGTTTTACCATCTACATGATATTCTTAATATAAATACAAAATTTCACAACAATCGGTCGAGTACTTTCGGAGATTATCTGTCTAATAAAAATCCGGGACGGCAGACGGACAGACGGACGGACAGACAGACGGAAATGGGAGACCTATTTCTTCGTCTTCTAGGGGTCATGAAAGATGGAGAAAACGTAAAAGTAGAGAGTCGGCCGACGGACTCGATTACAATACTTCCTTTGCTTACGCTCGGGAAGTAAAAAGAAAAATTACAACAGTGAAAAATCGAAAAATCGACATATCAAAAAATTGAGAAATCAAAAAATTGAAAAATCCCAAAATACATAGTTAGAAATATCGAAAAAGTAAAAATCGAGAAATGGGAAAATTGAAAAGTCGAGAATTTGAAGAATCAAAATGACTGAAAAATCCCAAAACTGAAATATCGGAAAATTGAAAAAGTTGTAAAACATTAAAACTGAAAAACAAAAAAAGTGCAACATGACAAAATTGAAAATTTGGAAAAATAAAAATTTAAAAATCGAAAAATTGGGAAAAACTGTGAAAATGAAAAATCGAAAACGTGTAAAATTAACATTGAAATTTTGGCTAAAAAAAAAATCAAACAATAATCGAGTAATTGAAAAAATGATTCATTAAAAATCGGACAATTCAGAAATCGAAAAATGTAAAAATATAAAACTGGCAAATCAAAAAATTGCAAAATTACAGAACTGCAAAATTAAAAATCTAAAACTAAATTTAAAAATCGAAACATTTCCAAATTGTGAAAATGAAAATCAAAAACTTGAAAAATTGAAAATCAAAATTTTGAAAAATTAAAAATCAAAAAATTGGAAAATCGAAACCATGAATTTCGAAAAATTGAGAAAACAAGAATTGAATGATTGAGTAATTAAAAACCGCATAATTGAATTAAGCGGAAAAATTAAAAAACTGAAATATTAAAATTGAAATTTGGAATAATTAAAAATCAAGAAATTGAAAAGTTGTAAAATTAGAAAAATAAAAAAATTGATGAGTGTAAACTGGAAAATTTATCAAAGTATAAAGACGAAAAATTGCAAACTATTAAATTCAAAACGAACGATTGAAAAATCAAGGAATTAGAAATTTTGAAAAACTGATTCATTAAAAAATGGACAATTGAGAAAGCGATGAGTTGTAAAAATATAAAACTGAAAATTCGTACAGTTTTAAAATGGAAAAATAGAAAAATCAAACAATCGTAAAATAGAAAAATTACAACACTGAAAAAAAAAAAATCAAAAACTTGGAAAATTGGAAATTGAAATTTTCAAATATTAAAAATCAAAAATTAGAAAATCGAGACAATGAAATTCGGATACCTCTATAAACGGAAATTTTATAAAATAATTAAACTGAAAACCCAAAAACTTGAAAAATTAAAATTAAATTTGATTTTCCGTTTTTAAAGATATCCGAACTTCATTGTTTAAATTTTATAATTTTTTGATTTGTCAAATTCATTTTTTTTTATTTTTTCGATTTTTAAATTTTGTAATTAATCTATTTTACAATTGTTCGATTTTTCAATTTTTGAATTTTAAAACTGTGCTATTTTTCAATTTCGTAATTTTACAATTTGTTTGATTTTTCAGTTTAATATTTTTTCAATTTCTCGATTTTTCATTTTTAAATTGTTCATTTTTTAAATTTAATAATGTTGCAATTTTTAATTTTTACATGTTAATAAATTTACGAGTTCACAATTATGCAATTTTTCAATTTGGTAATTAATTTTATATTTTTTTTATTATTCGAATTTCATTGTTTAGATTTTCCATTTTTTTTTTATTTTTTCAATTTCATAATTTCCCATTTTTCGATTTTTAATTTTGTAATTACTCGATTTTACAATAATCCAATTTTGTAATTTTGCAATTTCTTGATATTTAAGTTTTCAAAATTTCGATTTTCAATATTTCATTTTTTTGATTTTCCAGTTTTAGTTTTGTAATTTTTCAATTTTGTAATTTGCATTTTTTTTTTCATTTTTCAGTTTGATATTTTTAAATCTCCAAATTTCTCGATTTTTCAACTTCTCAATCGATATTTCCTTATACAAATTTTCCATTTTAAATATGTTGTAAGTTACATGTTGTGATAAGAAGTCTACACATATTAAAACAAAAAGGCAAAATGAAAAGTTTATGTTTTCTTTTCAAGTTTTTTGAGTCATAACCATCATAGAATCGCTTGAAAATTCGCACATGGATAAAACATCACTTTTTACAGGGCGCAGAGTCATTAAATGTTTGTTAGTGGTACAATTTGTTAAAATAATAATGTGTTTATTAAAATCAAAATATACCACAAATTAATGCAAAATACGTCGAATAATTTTAGCAGGAATATCAGAGGAAA